TGCGGGATTACAGGCTGAGCCCCCAAGCCCGGCGAGGTAGAGTTTTTAAGTCTTGAACTGCTCACTGGATTCAGATGGAAAGGGTGGAAAATATTCCAGACAAAGAGGGAATCCTGAAAAATGCTTAGAGGCAGGGGAATACCACAAAGTAGAGCATGAAGGTAGGCATTTGTGAGGTTGGGTGGTGAGGAATTATGAAAAGTAGGATTGGATATGTTGAGTGGAGCCACATACTTTAATGTGAGTAATTGTAGAGTTAGGTAAGCTAAAAAGGTGCTTACAGTCTATGCTGGAGTGAAGGAGAGGTTGTAAATAACTAACAAGTCTGTACTATGAGTATTGTGATGGAAGCTGGTACTGTGATAAAGTATTAGAGACAAAAGGCTTGAGTGCCGTGTCAGTGGTTACCCTATATTAGTAGCCGTGGCATCGCTGACTCAGTGACAGACTTCCTTTTTGTAAGGTCTCTCTCCTGACTCATTGGCATATGACACTCCCAGTTCACCAGGTCATCCTGTCCCAAACTACCCAGTTGCTTGTGAAGCTGCGAGACAGTCCTGGCCGGGGCTGCTGCCCACCTTTAGCTGCACTTCCCACCACCTTCCTTGACAGGCTCCAGAGTGGACTTCTCCTTCAGGACTGAGGCGTGCCTAGGGGTCTGTCCATGTGCTTGCCCTCTACCCCAGGCTCAAATTAATGGTGGGAATGTTTTCCTCAAGCAGTTATTTAAAATAGTGATTGCTGTGATATCACTTTTGATTCTCCATTATTTCACTTTTGTCTGCTTGTTTACTTATCTGCTTGACATCTACAGGGGTGTGTATCAGTCCACTTTTGCCGTTGTGCAATCCCCAAATCTCAGTTGCTTACCACAGTCACACATTTGATTCTTGTAGCTGAGGGTTAACTGTAATCCTTGGCCACTTTTCCCTCAGTCCATTCTTCCCTTGCCCAGGCTCCTGGGTCGGTTGGCTTCAGACCGGGTTTACCAGATCAGAGACACTGGCTGAAGATTACACAAGAGGAGAAAGGGTGAAACCAGGATATTTCTTCTTCCTTTCTGCCTCCAGTGCTTCTGCTTCCTTTCTGCTTCTCCAGCAGAGACTGTTTCTGTGTGGCTACAGCTCCCACTGGACAGGCCCAGCACAGTTCTTGTCAGATGACTGTAGGCCTTCAGCCTCTGTAATACCATCCCCTACTTTCACCTCTGGTTTAGGGTGATAGTAACTTCCTGCTCTTGTTAAACTCTTTACCTACCCAGTTTGGCTTGCAGCAACTTCATGGCTTATGCAGCCAATACCCTCTATCAAATTCCTTCTGTTGTAAATACAGTCACGCATCACATATAACATTCTGGTCAATGATGGACTGCATCTATATAGGACAGTGGTCCCATACAATTATAAAGGAACTGAAAAGTTTCTATCATCTAGTGGTGTCAGAACTATAGTAACTTGTACAGCAGTTAATTTAAAAAAAAAATAAATTTGATGTAGCTGAGTGTCCAGCGTTTATAGAGTCTATTGTAGTGGACAGCCATGGTCTAGGCCTTCACAGTCACTCTCCATTCACTCACTGACTCACCCAGAGCAGCTTCCAGTCCTGCAAGCTCCGTTCATGGTAAGTGCCCTGCAGAGGTGTACCATTTTTTATCTTTTATACCACATTTTTACTGTACCCTTTTTATGTTTAGATGCACACATACTTATCATTGTGTTACAGTTGCTGAAAGTATTCAGTACGATACATGCCATACAGGTCTGAAGCCTAGTCGTGTATATCTCAGGTGGGTGATAGGCAGCACCTTCTAGGCTTGTATCAATACAGTCTAAAATGTTCCCATAAAGAAAAAATTGCCTGATGATGGTGCATTTTCAGAACATTCCCATCTATAAGTGATTTGTGACTGTGCTCAAAGTGGTTTCTTTTTCCTGATTAGACCCTGGCTGATACATTGTCCCAAAGAAGGAGGTTTTCGAGTCGAAGTCTCACTCTGTCGCCCAGGCTGGAGTGCAGTGGCACACTCACGGCCACCCCAGCGTCAACTTGCTGGGCTCTGACAATCCTTCCACCTCAGCCTTTCAAGTAGCTGGAACTACAGGGGCACGCTACCTGACTTTTGATTTATTGTAGAGATGAGGTCTTGCCAAGTTGCCTGGGCTGGTCTCGAACCTGCGGGCTCAGACTATCCACGCACCTCAGCCTCCCAAAGTGTTGGGATTACAGGCTGAGCCACCGAGCCCGGTCTTCTTTTGTTTTTATGTTGTTTTTTTTTCTGTAGTGTGGATTCAGAAATAGGTATAAAAACAATACATTTTATTCCCACAAAATAATTCTCCTAATGAAGCGGTGTGAAATAATGGGCAGAGTATTGGGTTTGGAGTCACAGGTGCAGGTTGGAATGCTAACCCTGTCACTCATGGCCCTGTGACCTCGCTAAGTTGCTCCTTCTCTCTGAATGGAGGTGCTTATAATTGCCATTAGACCTGGATCTTTAGGGTTGTCTGTGTTGATCAGGATAAGGAAATGCATTAGAAACTATTAGGCTGGATTCAAGTAATACAGGGATCCTTAATGACGTTACAGAACCATCTACCACCTGGTCATATTTTAATTTGTTGAGCATATGTCATTTCCAACATAGTTTCTTTCTCATTATAAACTCAAAGTCGGAAGATACAACTACAATTAGAAGAGACAAGTTATATAAAGTATTCGTCTTACATTGGAAGATATTTTTGTGCTTTTAAAAGGTATCCTTTAAATGGCCAAGTACATATGACCAATGATCATTCCCAAGTATCCCAGACTTCTTTGGTTCTGCCTAAGTTTACTATAGAACTAAGAGCATGGTTCCTAGGGCATCATGAGTGTCATAATCCCTGTCACATAGGCTAACATGGGTTGGATTTCAGTCATATGAGCAGATAGTTGCCTATTACCCCATCTTCTAAACATCTCTTAATTTGAGCCTCACCCTAGGAAAGAGATTCATTTTGATTCAAAACCAACCTATGTGGATGAAGTCTTTTCTAGTTTTAAAGATGCCAGGATACTCAGATCTATTTCAGATTAATCTAAAAATAAGATTTTTTTTTTTTCTTTTGGTCAGGGTCTCACTCTTTCACCTAGGCTGGAGTGCAGTGGCACAACCATGGCTTACCACAGCGTCGACCTCCTGAACTCAGACCATCCTTCTGCCTTAGCCTCCCAAATAGCTAGGACTACAGATGCACACCACCATACCTGGCTAATTTTTCGATGTTTTGTGGAGACAATGTTTCACAATGTTGCCCAGGCTGATCTCAATCACCTGGGCTCAAGTGATCCTTCTACCTTGGCCTCCCAAAGTGCTGGGATTACAGGTATGAACCACCATGCCTGACAAGAATTTCTTAATAAAATAGCTATGCTAAGCATACTCAAAGGCTCAAGGAACTGATACCTAATGTTCAGGTCCACCAAGAGTGGACCCACTTTTCTTTTGTTATTTAGACATGATCTAGTTAGGGTCAGCTTTAAGGGATCTGTCAGAAGCTGATTCCTCCCAAATTCCGATATTTCCAGGGTGAACTCTAAAATGTGATTCTCCTGTTAGTGTCACTTGAAACACAGAATTTTCATCCTTAGCCTGAGGAAGGGAGCTAGGCAGACTATGGGTTGAAATCCCAGCTTTTTTTTTTTTTTTTTTAGTTGGAGTCCCACTCTGTTGCCGAGGCTGGGGTGCAGAGTGACACACTCATGGCCACCCCATCGTTGACCTGTTGGGCTCCAGTGATCCTTCCTCCTCAGCCTTCCAAGTAACTGGAACTACAGGCACGCACTACCACACCCGGCTAATTTTTTTATTTTATTTTATTTTTTTATTTTAGAGATGAGGCCTTGCCAAGTTGCCTGGGCTGGTCCTAAACCCTCAGGCTCAGGCAATTCACTTGTATCGGCTTCCCAAAGTGCTGGGATTACAGGCTGAGCCACTGGGCCATGCCAAGATCCTAGCTTTGCTGTTATAGTTACTTAATCTGTAGCTGCTGGTTCTTTTTTTTTTTTTTTTGAATCGGAGTCTCACTGTGTTGCCCAGGCTGGAGTGCTGTGGCTCACCACAGCCTCGACCTCCGGTGGCTCGCCACAGCCTCGACCTCCTGGGCTCAGGCGATCCTTCTGCCTAAGCCTTCCTAGTAGGTGAGACTACAGGTATGTGCCACCATGTCTGGCTAAGTTTTAAATTTTTTTTCAGAGATAAGGTCTCACTGTGTTGGCTAGGCTGGTCTCAAACTCCTGGACTCAAGCTGTCCTCCCATCTCGGGCTCCCAAAGTGCTGGGATTATAGACAAGAGCCACTGTACCCAGCCAAGCTGCAGGTTCTTCATCTGTGAAATGGGGATAATGACAACTATTTTCCTTGGTTCTACCTGGCATGTAGCAGGTACACAATAAATATAGTATTATTTACATATAATAGTATCATCCTTATCAGACAAAGGACTTCAGAGTCAGGAATTTAAGATTCTACAGCTGTACTACAGAGGTTTGCTGAGCCCCCTAGCTTTTGGTAGTGTAACTGAAAACTGATGGAATTTTTTATATATTTTAATTTTCAGCTAGTCATCAAAGCTTTTACAATTTAGAGAGAATTTCAAACATAACCAAGACTACAGTGCTAGGAGGGAATATGAAAGTGGTGATCTATTGAGTACTTTTAATTTTTTTTACCGCCTTAAATTTTTAGCCAAATTTGTTTCTAAACATGAAAAGTTGCTATTACTGTTTTTGCCTTTTGTGAGAGACAAATGCCATTTGTTTGCTCTCAGCCTTGGGGGGAAATGATTATATGGCTACTTGTGGAAATGGCTAAGCAGGCAGTTCGTATCTTGGGAAATTGCGGTTTTGTTAGTTCATCATCTGTCGTTAGTTCCTGCTCTTGAAGAGAAGAGCAAGCCTTGGAGGGTTATCTTTAACAAATGACACAGTGTGGAGTGGGACTTCCACACTGTGAAACTGCCATGACGGCTGGCCTAGGCACTAGCACTAGCCCCTTGAGGTCCATCACTTCATCTTCGGTGTTTCATCTTCGGTATTCCTCGGTGTTTCATGTAGTGTCTGGCTCTTGGAGGTGCCCACTAAGTTTCAAGCTAAATACTGGAATGTGTCCTTTCATTAGTCAACTTGATTTTTAAAAATTTTTTAATTTTGAAGATGTGGAGTACAAGTCAGGGTTAGGTGTTCAAATGTTCATTATGCAAGTGCCCTTGCTGATGAGGTGTGCCCTTCCCCCGTCCTGGCAGTTTCAACTTGATTTTTACTTTGTGACTTCCATTTGATTAAGCTAGACCTCACTGTGTCTGTCATGTGTGATTGGGCACTCTTTAGCCCTCTCTGTGATGTAGCTGAAATGAAGCAGCTCCAGTCAGTTTTCTGTTTAATACTTTGAAACAGGGATTATAGTTACACACAGGTTGAGGAACTGGTGGTCAAGTCTGAGAAGGGGCCAAATCTGCCACTTCTCTGACATCAGCATCATAATTTCCAAATGTGAACTTCAGCCTTCAACTTTGAGGCCTGCAAAGGTATGCTGCTCTTCTGAAATAGATTAAATATCAGTTTTTCTGAATGTACACATTTTTCCTGTTTTCTTCTCTCACTCTCAGAAATACATGCAAAGAACTTCAGTCCATAGTTGTGACTATTCCTAAAATGGCCAGTAATGTTTTCCTTATTCTGCTGACAGAACATCTGATGTTAAAAACACATAGTCGACTGGGCTCGGTGGCTCAGCCTATAATCCTAGCACTTTGGGAAGCCAAGGCGAGTGAATTGCCTGAGCCTGCGGGTTTGAGACCAGCCTGGGCAACTTGGTGAGACCTCGTCTCTACAATAAATCAAAAATTAGCCTGGCATGGTAGCGCATGCCTGTAGTTCCAGCTACTTGGAAGGCTGAGGCAGAAGGATCGCCGGAGCCCAGCAGTTTGGCGCTGGAGTGGCCATGAGTGTGTCACTGCACTCCAATTTGGGCAACAGAGTGAACTCCAACTCAAAAAAAAAAACCAAAAACCAAAAAAACCCCCCAAAAACAAATAGTCATTGTGTTTCACGTTTCTTAACTTCTTTGCAGTATGCGTTTCTTTACCTAATGACAATACTGGCCAAACCGAGCACTGTGGTTGTATCTACCAGATGTGGAAATCCTGCCCCAGGCTTGCCTGATGACATCCTCGAAATTACATGTGTCTGTAAAATGATCATGTGAGGGAAGAGTTCTGTTTCTGTTTTTTCTGTTAGTAACTTAGGGTTACACTTAGGGTGCTGTAAAAGTACTTTTGGTTCTGTCACAATCTGGGTAAATGTACTTAACATTGTAAAACACTAGCTTTTCAATGACAGACAGATAAATTTTTCAACTTGATGTCAATTTAATTTAGTTTTAGCTTTTTTCCCCTCAGCTGTTTATATATGGAAACGTTCTGTCTATACTCGCCCCCAGTACACCCAAAAACCCAGAATTCTCTCCTCCTGCTCCCCTGAATTTATTTTTAAAATAATCTGTATATGCCCACTGCTTTGTTTTGCTTTTAACTCATTGTAATATGGGGCCTTGTGAGTAGAAAGATGAGTTAAAAATATAATGTAGCAAACTGCTCTCCAAGGCCCCTCTTGCCCCTTGTCTGTGTGGGAATTCACCGGGATCCTCAGCTGAGCAGCTTTTAAAATCCAGTGAGCTCACTTTCTTACAGCTTGCACTGTTGCCCTCTCCTGATTTACAGTTGATTAGATTAATTGAATATGGTTAATAAGTTACAGTATGGCAAACTCTGAATTATCTCAGTTAATGAGGGACAGGGACAGCATGGAAAAATTAAATCTTGCCGACGATGCCTTTCCTCCTGGGTTTGTTTCTGCAGATACCACAAAACACATCATGTGAAACACATCAAGTTCACATGTCTTTATTCTTTGCTTTCTTTACCACACTTTTCCCTGCAGGTGAAACAAGTACACTGGAGCTGTAGCATTGGGGAAGGAGGAACAGGTTTGTTGGACTATTTGTTAGATTACAATTGCAATCCCCAATTAACACCAGCTTTCGCCCGGCATGGTGGTTCACTTCTGTCATCCCAGCATTTGGAGAGGCAGAGGCGAGAGGATTGCCTGAGCCCAGGGATTCGAGAGCAGCCTGGGCAATTTAGTGAGACCTTGTCTCTACAATAAATAAAAAAAAATCAGCCAGGTGTGGTGGTGTGCACCTGTGGTTCCAGTACTTGCAAGGCTGAGGCAGAAGGATCACCTGAGCCCAGCAAGTCGAGGTTGCTATGGCCATGAGCGTGCCTCTGCACTCCAGCCTGGGTGACAGTGAGACTCCAACACAAAAAAAAAAAATAGCAAAAAAAAGCCAGCTTTCAGGTGGAGTGTGTGAGTTGGTTGTTGGTGGGGTTTGGTGTGCTTTTTTGTGTTGTTTTCCCCATATAAATAATATTATACTCTATGCTGAGAGATTTTGCCAGGGCAGCCCCTAATAGCTTCTTTAATCCAGAATCTTTTTTTTTTAAGTTGATGTCTCACTCCGTTGCCTAGACTGGAGTGCACTGGCACGTTCGCCACCACCCCAGCATCGACCTGCTAGGCTCTGGCAATCCTTCCATCTCAGCCTTCCAAGTAGCCAGAACGGCAGGCATGCACTACCATGCCTGGCTAATTTTTTTATTTATTGTAGAGACGAGGTCTCACCATGTTGTCCAGGCTGGTCTCGAACCTGCAGGCTCAGAAAGTCCTCTCACCTCAGCCTCCCAAAGTGCTAGGATTACAGGCTTAAACCACCACACCCAGCTAATCCAGAATTTGAAGTATACTTGTAGTGATTACTATTTTCACTATCACATGTGTAATATTTTCTTCAAAATTGATTAATGCAAAGATAATATAAGAGCAAGTATGTAATTTTGAAAGTCATCTCACATTAACATACTTACCCTTACATAACCACTTTGTTGGTTTACATGTTGCCTTCCTTATGCACATTTATTTTCTACATAGTTGCACATATAGTGCATTTATATTTTGCTACTTTTATTACATTATAACATAAATAATTTCCAGGTTTCTATAGAATTTTGATAACCATCAAGGATCAGTTCCTTTTTGGTGAATAAAGCACAAAGCCTTCAGTGACTACTTCAGCATTGAAAGTCAGAGATGGGAGAAGCTCTTTTCTAGGAAGTGTGTCTGGACTTATCTGAGAGAAGACATAGCTTTTGATCGCTCTCTCCTAGGCATTCTCTTGTGGAAATAAGGGCCATTGCTTTCTGAGGCTCAAGGTCAGGCTAGAGACTTCCAAGTGAGTCTTTTGTATCTTACATGCCTGTCAGTGGGGGCGACTGCCTGATGATGACCTGTTTAAAAAGCATATTTTGAACTTTGAAAAACGTGATTGAGGAAGACAGGCGCTCACAGGCATTCAGTGCTCCTTAGCATATTTCTCCAGGATTTAGAGAGAACTGCCCATTTTGAAAGAAGTGGGCAAAGAAAAACATAAGGTAAATAATTCTGTCCAAGATTGAGGATGATTCTGTGAAATCTATGCAGTTCCTTGCTCTAATACCTAAAGCCTCTTCCTTAGTTATGGGGGAGAAAGAGGGGGCCTTCAATGGGATGTTCTACTTTGGATTTGGTTTTATAAAAACAAGCTGATAGAGCCAGGCGCAGTGGCTCATGCCTGTAATCCCAGCGCTTTGGGAGGCTGAGGCAGGATGATCACTTGAGACTGGGAGTTCGAGACCTGCCTGGGCAAGATAGCAGAACCTCATCTCTACAAAAATATAAATCTTATCCAGTTGTGGTGATGTGAGCTTGTGGTCCTAGCTACTTAGTAGGCTGAGGCAGGAGAATCCTATGAGCTCAGAAGTTTGAGGCAGTAAGTTGTGATGGCACAACTGCATTCTAGCCTGGGCGACAGAATGGGACCTTGTCTCTAAAAATAAAAATAAACTAGCTGATAAAATATAATTTGACATAAATTTTTTGGTCAATTGTAGAAAAATTATATATGGTACTAGATGATTCTCCAAACCATTAAGATGCTGGGATGTCTTTTTTTCAGTTGATGTCTCACTTTGTCACCCAAGCTGGGTGGAGTACAGTGGTGTGGTCATGGCCCACTCCAGCCTCAACTTCCTCAGTCTCTCGAGTAACTGGAACTCTGCCTCAGTCTCTCGAGTAACTGGAACAACAGGCATGCATCACCACGCCCAGCTAATTTTTGATTTTTTTGTAGAAACAAATTTCACTACATTGCCCAGGCTGGTCTCAAGCTTCTGGTCTCAAGTGGATTCTCCCACCTTGGTCTCCAAAAGTGTTGGGATTACAGGCATGAGCCACTGTGCCTGGCCAAGAATGGCTTCTTAAAAATAGTCTGCTGTGGCCAGATACAGTGGCTCACACCTGTAATCCCAGCACTTTGGAAGACAGAGGCAAGAGTTCAAGACCAACCTGGGCCACACAGTGAAACTTTGGGAGGCCGAGGCGAGAGGATTACTTGAGCCCAGGGGTTCGAGACCAGCCTGGGCAACTTGGTGAGACCTCGTCTCTACAATAAATTTTTAAAAATTAGCCAGGCATTGTGGTGTGCACTTGTGGTTCCAGCTATTTGAAAGGCTGAAGTGGAAGGATCGCCTGAGTCTGGCAGGTCAAGGCTGCAGTGGCCATGAGCGTGCCACTGCACTCCAACCTGGGCGACAGAGTGAGACCCTGACTCAAGAAAAAAAAAATCTATGAATACCCTTCAGGTTTTCCTTTCTCTTCCTTCTTATCCCCTCTTTCCTGAATACTTTGGGATCTGGAATTAGGGAGAATGATGATTGAATGTGAAGTCCGCTGTGGCATATTTTGACAAACCTCTCATTTTCTGCTTTGGATATAGTTATTATTCATTCTTTGTATATTTAAAGTTTAAAGTGGCAGTTAACTGGGGGACAAGGGAGACAAAGGAAAATATGATGTGTTCTAGGTCCTTCCTTGATCCAGACTGCTCCTTAAGTCTGAAACATAGGTTAATGATGAGCTGAGATTGATCAACCCAGTTGTAACACTGTATTCTGTTAAAAGCCAAGCCAAAGAAGTAATAGAACACAGGCTCCCTTAGTTCCCTACAGTTAGAATAGTGTCTTTGTTATTTTAAGGTGAATGGTTGTGTATTTACATATGTATAATTGACTTATCTTTTACTATGCACACGAAGATCACAGTGTTGTCAGCTTTAAGCTTTTCTATCAGAGGATTGTGCTTACAAATCAGGAGAGCATAATCATTGGTAGTTTTTCATTTTTGATTGGGAAAAATGATATGCTGTTTGTGCCATTTTTGTTGATTTTTGTCTCATTATTTTACTTGCATGTACTCCATCTGTTTGTTTTAACATTACTCATTAGCAAGAGCTTATTATCCATCCATCATTCTGGCTGCTTTAAGTACTGCTTAATTTCACAATACTTTTGTGGTATTGATGTTGGTTTCGATCAAGAAAAGCCTCTTGCTAACTTGATTCAGAGTACTGGGAGTTTGCAGTTATGTATGTTTATTTTATAATTGCTGGCCACTTTTCTTTTATCTAGAGAAGAGTCACTAGGAGGAGAAGAGGGTGGGAAGCGGGCAGATAGGGTCTTCTGCCTCCAGTAATTTGATATAGGCCCTTCCTCTCTCCCTCCTCACAAAATTGTGGATTTATATTAACTAGGTGGGGAAAATTACTAAATTTTGCATTTTGTACCAGTATAGGCTGCAATCTGTCTATACATAGTGACTTGGAAAATAAGAAAATAAATATAGCTGGAGCTTATTATAACCTTAGTTGCTATTGAATATATTACATGGATAACAATCTTTTATTTTTTCTCTTTTAAGAATTCATTCAAAAAGGGGAAAATATATCCTGTGTTTTTAGTTGTGCTATGTAGTGTTATTAGTTCTGTTGCTTTTTAATTTTGTTTTTTCTTTTTTAACTTTCACTTGTCTCTAAATGAATGGAAAATATGATACATGGTCAGTACTTGGGAAGATCCAGAGGCTCAGTTTCACTGCATTTTTGGTGCAACATCATTGGAATGTAGTTGTAATTTTTTTCCAGTAGTAATTCTAATGATTTGGCAGTATGGTTTTCCCATAACAATAGTGCATAAAAACAGGGATTTGCTTTTTTTTCTTAACCTCATTTTTAAAATGACTACTGAGTATTTCCTTCACCCTTAAATGAAACA